CTATTTTACTTTTCTCACTCTTTACCTCAATGATCACTGCACCCCAGTGGCTTTCTGCATGTGTCCGCCCGATAATTTATTTTAATTTTACACTGATGTTGCTTATCAAACTATTCATATCGGCAGACGTTCGATAGATGACCCAGACATATTTTGATTTTATCATATTCACCTCAACCATCCTACGGGACGTGTCAAGCACTTGCTTTTATCCCGTGATAAATCATTGTTCATTGTTCATTGTTCATGGAAAACCCTGGCAGGTGATCACGGGATACTAAACAAAAACCTTATACTGGTTAAAAAGCACTGCTTGATAATCCACGTTGGGTGTTCTGCTGGCGTTAACGGAAGATCTACGTAATACAGTTGTCTTACGCTCTGCGTAGGTTAACAGCTCCAGTAGGTAACAACTAATAAATCTAAGGTATTTCCCGCCAGTAGGATGTGGAGATAATAAGCGACTGAGCGCGTCATCAAACCGACTTTTAAATATGGCTACCGTGGGATCAAAAACGATCGATTCAGAGAGAGCATTCCACCGGTGACACGCGAATAAAAAAGATTGCTACAGCACTCCAGGCGGCTGTACTGTTCTGTTAGTTTCAAGATGTGACCTCCCAACTTCGTGTTACTGCTGAGTTGCAGTAAACAACGCTACACATGGATGGATTTTGTAACCTCTAGTGTGCATTTGTCAGGTCGCGTCGTAATCAGCAATGCATTCCGCTGAATAATACCAAACTTTCCAGCCTCTACTCGCACAGGAGATTTCAAATTTTACTGACCTATTTGGAAGCTCGACGTTGAGGTTGGTCCCGTGCACTGACATCGTGTTTCAGGTGTGGTTGCCATGCCTGAATTGCACATTAGACATAGGAGTGAACATGAGCATTGAGAACCTGTCGATAAATAGATGTTTATATGTCCGAAAGTCCGTCGCAACAGCCGTACTGCGTACGGGAAGTAACGGTTAAGACTTCCAAAGGAGTTCTGCGCAGGAATGTTAGACAATTGTGTTTTCTAGAAAAGACGCTGGAGGAGAGACGCGCACCAGCGGAAAGCGTCGGAGGAATTTAATTACATATTCGCAAATTGCAAATTGGCAGTTTTATCCTTCTTTCTCTAGTCGTCAGCCTATGTATCTAGTTTATTTTACCTTCGTTATACCTTTGCTGCACAACTAGGAGGATTATAAAGCACGACCTTGACATTTGTCTATTTGCATTACCATGGTTAACCAAAACACCGTCCTAGTGGCACCTAATCACACACTCTACCGTTGACGTGCTGGCCGGTGCTGTCTGTCTCACCGCTGCCCCCCGTTTACCGCTGATCGGGGATACCGACTTGATGAAGGCGCCTGGCATACTAGTCGGCAATCAATGACACGCAAGAGACATGTCAAATACGAGAGAGTATAGAAGTTGGAGGCGACTGAAACCAAAGTGTATTATGCAAGCTACAAAAATAGAAAGCGAATCATCCAGTGCGAGAAACGGTGCAGCAAAATACTCAACGAAACAATTTGTGTCAGTAAAAGAAGTGGATGTTTTGAAGGTTAAAAGAAAGGTAATATCCAGTGTTGCAAAATAATGGAAGAGCGTATTTTCCGGTGCGCTGCAAAGACCTCCCCATAAAAGACTGAAGGTTGAAAGTTTTCGAGAGAAATGTTAGAGAAACAGGAGGTGAGGTTGTTTGCGAATAGCTGATCATAAGTTAAAAGGTGTGCTTGGCCGCGTCGTGAATAATGCATCTATGTATTATTCAGTTATTTACTAGCTGCATGGATTTGGAAGCGGACTTCCAACATGGGGTGTGTAGCAGAGTTCGCTGGCTTTTGTTATTAATTGTTCCTGATAATCTTGTGGACCAGAGTGCAGCATTGGTGGGCGGTCAGGGTGGGCACGTCCGACTGCAAAATAACTGGCTAGTCCAGAAAATTGGCTGACAGGACATTTCCTCCGCTGCAGACCCGACGGAGCGCTCGGGAGGTGCCATACCCCCACTGCACTCAAGTCCACTGTCCTCGTCCCATGAAGAAAGCTGGGCGTCCACGACATACAAAAAATATCCCGCGCCCCAGTCGGCAACGCACAGCCAGGCGATTAGGGACCAATCCGGTCGTGGCCGTCCGCCGTCGAGGGCGACTGACTGGTCCTTGGGTTACGAAAAGGCCTTAGGTCGGCTAGGAAATTACTCAGGGGTTGTGTTGAGCCAGCTGGCGAGTCACTCGAGGGTTACCTTGGTAATTCCGGTGCTTGAGTTTCTGGCAGGTAGAACTCAGTGAGGGTGGGCAAGCGTCAAGGATGTGACCTGAAGCTGGAGAGGGAACACAGCATGCATGAAAAAGCAAATCCGCTTTTTAAATATACCAATTGTTTTGGGTATTTTGTCGATATGCGAAACGTTTGCAGATGAGACGCACAATTACAATCTATGGACGAAAAGGCCGCGTTAATGGAAATAGAAAAGGTTTACAAAATCTATAAAACGGACTGGAGGTTTAACCTGTCTACCGCGTCGATCGGTTGCCTGAAGTTGAGGCAGGGTAGGTTGATGTTCAAGGGGAATGGAGGGTTTCGGCGTATCCAGTGCTCAAGGACACCGCAGGCTTGGGTGCTTGTGTGATAGCATCAGGATGGGTTGCAAGTACTTCGTCAAAGAAAGCCATTTTGAAGTGGTCGATGGACACAGTTGTTCCATGCCCATTCTTGTCTAAAAGGAAATGTTTCGGAGTCCCTTGCAGGACTCTGCACCGGCCAGTGTAGGGAGGCTGGAGAGGGCGCCGCGCTGCGTCGGTGCGGTGGAAGCGGTGAGTGCGGGTAGAGAGTCCGATGTGCACTTGCACATCTATAGTCTGCTCACGAGGCGGAGTCGGGCGTAGTGAACACATGCGTTGAGTTAGGGAGGACTCAAAGGTAGGCGGAGGCATACCCGACGAAACAAATTTTGCTGGCGATTTTAGCGTTGGCCCGTAAGCCAGCTCTGTTGGTGCACATCACAAGTCAGCTATGATGTTGCTGCGAATGCCTAAGAGTACGGGCGATACGTTTTCGCTCGAGCTAGGGTAGAAGGAGGCGCAGAGCGAGTTTTTAGCTGTCTGTGGAAGTGTTCAAATAAACCGTTGGCTGCTGAGTGGTACGTTGTGGTATGAATGAGGCGGCAGCCTAAA